TTTTTTTTCGAATACAATATGGATGCAAGAGTTTTGTCAGTATATTTTGATTAGTTTTTATTTATTGCAACTTCAATTTTTATTTTTTTTTATTTGTTTGACAGACAGTTATGATTGTTGAAAAAGTGCGCGGTTGCGCAATCGAAGTCTCTCTCGAGCCCTTTATCTCTTCGCCTTTTCAAAATGAGAGGAGCTACGCAAATATTTATAATAAAAAACTGTAGCCCTTTTAATTACCTTTAAAATAGTATATTACAACTTGTGATGAAGTCAGAATTAAAGGAGTTATGACTCAAAAATTCATCGTATTTTTTTACATTTAGAGCAAAGTGTAAGTATGGCCAAAAACTATTGCCTTATATATGTGTGTATGATAAATTCTGATTTCTCATGCTATAATTAAATAATTTTTAAATATGTAGTCATAAATATCAACTGTTTTTATTTAAGGGTGGTTTAAAAGCTTGAAAAATTAAAGATATGGTAATTATTTTTGAGAATTTGAAATAACATTTAATTAATTATTTTTTTCAATTTTAGAATAATTTTTTTAAACAATTTTTCATCAAAGGATTGTATTTTTGAGGGGCAAAAATGGTTTGAAAGTTTGATAACTAATCTTTTATGTCAAACCAAAATATGTTTTTAGGTATTTTTTCAATTAGTGATTGTTCGCAAGGGTTGTAGGGTTTTCATCATAAAGTGAAAGTATTAAAAAACTAGTGGTGTATGGCATCGCCTTAAGGCAAATTGCTGGAGAGTTACGAAAAAAATTATGATGCGAAAAGTTGTAGCTCTTTTAATTACCTTTAAAATGGTATATTACAAATTGTGGTGGAGTCAGAATTAAAGGAGTTATGACCCAAAAACTCATCGAATTTTTCTTTCACACAAAAATGGACAGAGTTATGATTGTTTAAAAAGTGCGCGGCTGCGTAATAATAATCTCTGTCAAGCCCTTTAACCCTTCGCGGTTTAAAAATGAGAGTAGCTACCCAAAAAAATATGATAAAAAAAGTTGTAGCCCTTTTAATTACCTTTAAAATGGTATATTACAAATCGTGATGGAGTCAGAATTACAGGAGTAATGATCCAAAACCTCATCGTATTTTTCTTCCACACAAAAATGAACAGATTAAACCAATCTGGACCTACGGAATTGAGCTCTGGGGACGTGCTTACAAATCAAATATAGCTATAATGCAGAGAACCCAGTCAAAAATTTAACGTACAATTCTTAATTCTCCGTGGTACGTGATAAATGAAATCATTCACAGCGACCTCAACATGAAAATGGTGCAATTAACGTTTAAAGAATTCAAGAAAAAATACAAACGCAAACTTGACTCACATTCGACACCCATCAATAGTTGACATTAATCAACCTTTTGGCATAAGGAGATTGAAACGACAATGGCCTTTAGACTTAGTCTAAATATAATAATATCAAAGTAACTGTTAAACTGAGAAGATCTCATTGGAGCTCTTCTTAGGCATCGCTCTTAAATATTGCCAAAAAAAAGAACAGAGTTATGATTGTTTAAAAAGTGCGCGCCTGCGCAATCAGAGACTCTCTTGAGCCTTTTGCGATCAGATGTATTTTGCATATAAACAAGCAAGGATGAATCTTATGATAACTGCATTATCAAAAAAATTGACGTGACAACGCTATTTTATGAGCTCTGCTACGTCAAAATAGCCCCATAAGTAATCATTTAACAAAATGGCACATTAATAAAACGTTTAAAATTGTTGACATACACCAACCACTCACCAACCTAACCAGAATCATCATCATTTTTTTGAACAAAAACCTTCATGACTACCACAGTCTACTCCGCTATTTTTTATTATTATACCCTCTATGATGCTGACTCCTCCTCGGCGGATGATGACCATTACCATTACCATTACCATTACCATTGTCCCTTCGTCTCTCCTTGGCAGAAACTTGGCAACTACAGCCACTCCTCACTTTTATATAATCTAATCTCCAGCCAGATCCGTCGTTAGGGCCTGGCAAATTGTGAAACTGGTGCTTCTTGTACTCTTCTACGTTGAGTCCGGATCTGGCAAGGGCCCTGTCCAGTCTTTTGCGGGCCACAACGTCTCTGATGGGATGAAAATTCTGCACAATTGCGTAAACCCAAATGTACTTCTGAACGCAACGAGATTGGAGAGATAGTTTGGTATGCACGAATCGGCAGGGACGATCTACTATGTCTTCGCGACATGAGTTTTCGAAAAACCTGGGTAAAGGATATATGGGTGAAATTGTAAATTTTTGTCGGTTTTCAATAGGGAATGCAATACCGATGAAAAATTTCAATACCGGTATTTCGGTAATTTTTCATTTTAAAACCGGTATACCGGTAAATTACCGGTATTTTTATTATCTTAAACAAACGTAAACAAAATTGAAAGTTACTAGTACAAATATAAAATAATGTATATACAACTACAACTATATTCAACTAAACAATAAAATAAAATAATAATAATTAAATTAAATAATAATTTAACAAAATTATAAGGTTGTCAAATATCTCCCTTCCGCCTTTTTGTATTATAAACCAAGAGCAAAAAAGCGGAAGGGAGATATTTGACAACCTAATATATCCAATTTTATTAATTCATTATCACTATCGAGTATATTGAGTACTTTTCACCAAAAACAAACTTATGAGTAAGAAAACTCAAAAACTCATAAAAGATCATATTACATTATTATAATAAACTGTATTGTTTGTATCCGATGTGGTAAATTATGCTAATTTAATAATGTGTTAATCTCCAATGTTTTAAAAAAATAATTTTTCTACACAAATTTAAGATCGGATACTTTGTCGAGATAAATAATAAGTTACTAGAATTGTTGAGTATTGTTGTTAAAAACAATGTGATGCTTCTATAGTATTTTCAAACTTCGAAACGTTTTCGAAAACTAATATTTTATAATTGTAATAAGAAGCAAAAAATATTTAGTAATTATCATAATTATTATGTATAAAGTTAGAAAAAAATAAATATTACGCAGGGGGTAATCTGTATGATATAAAATATTTTGGCGCAAATATCACTTAAAAAACCGTTACGTAAGATGAAACAAACATCATTATCTATCAGTCCAATTCTATTTATTGTAACACGATATGAAGCTCTTAGTCAAGCTTAAATATTCAGTTTAATGACAAGTTGAAATAATATTTGACATTTGTTTATCCCATAGAATCACTTGAAGATATAGCTGTTTATGGGATTATGGAACTTAAAGATAAATTTGTTCCGAGAAATTTAAACTTTAGGGTATTATGTATCAAATAGCGCTTATGTAAAAATACCGAAAATACCGGTATTTTTGGGGTAAATACCGGTAAAAATACCGCCGAAAAATCGGGCGGTTTGCCGGTAATTTGGCATACCGGTATACCGGTATTGCATTCCCTAGTTTTCAAAAACCGGTTTTTGGCGAAAATTATGGAATACGAAAACCGGTTTTTTAATGAAAAAAGTCGGTTTTCACTGTATAAATGGAAAATGACAAATATAGCCAAATATGAAAGATAGATGAAAGCGTTTTGATTCTTGAAATCATATCGTTTCAATAGCATTTGATATGTTATCACTCTGCTATGGTTCCCAGAAAGTTTTTCTGTAATCTTTTGTCTAATGTATATATTAATTTAGATTTTCATATCAGTGTATATATTAATTTTAATCAGTGTGACTTCTTTTTGAAGAAGTAACTTTCTCTTATCAAACTTCAAAAAAAGAGTTTTTAGCCCTAGTCACAAATAAAAGAACAAAAATATTATTATATGAGGCTACACAAACAATTAAGCGTAGTTCGGTCGCAATTAAAAAAGTACTTTCTATTTTAGGAAATTTTGTGCATAAACAAAGGACACATCTAAGTAACAAATCGATAGACGTTCGTAGTTTATTTAAATAATATTTTGTTAAACAAAAAGCTAATTAGAATTTTTAAAAATAATTAATTAAAATTGCCCGGAATAGAAAATACTCGGAGTTTAGTTTAATTGCTTTTAAAACTAAAATTGATATCAACAAGCACATATTAACATGTATCTAATATTTTTTTAGTTTTTTTTTTAATTTAATACATGTTTTTTATTTAATAATGTATAATTTTTATTTATTCGAAAACTTTCCTTGCACTATCATAAAAATATTTTCATTCTTATATGTGAAAATGATGCATGAATAACGAATAATTATTTTCAAAGTTATTTAATCATGATAAACTATTATTTTTTAGTTCTACTAATTAAAATTAAAATAATTTTGTTTACTATTTACAAAATTGAACAATAAATAAATTCAGTTAAATAGTGATTTAAATCGCACTAAATTGACGGATACATACATTATTTATTATACATTATTTATTTTCTGGTAAAATTGAAATTCGAAAACCGGTTTTCAGAAATGTCGGTTTTTGTAAAACCCTACTTGCGACCAAATTATGCTTAATTGTGTTTTTTAGCCTGATATAATAATTCCAAGTTTTTTGTTCTTTAGTTTGTGGCTTCTAGGGTTTAAAACTCTTTTTTTTTAAGTTTGAGTAGAGAAAGTTACTTCTTCAAGAAGAAGCCACACTGATTTAAATTAATATATACTTTGGTATAAAAATCTAAATTATTGAATACAAAACCTTTCTGGGAACCATTGCAGACTGATAAGATATCAAATGCTATTGAAACGATATGATTTCAAGAATGAAAACGCTTTCATCTATCTTTTATATTTGGCTATACTTGTCATTTTTCATTTATACAGTGAAAACAGAATTTTTTCACTAAAAAACCGGTTTTTGAATTCCACAATTTTTGTCAAAAACCGGGTTTTTGAAACCGACAAACCCTAGTTGATAGTTGTATGTCATTTACTAACCTTTGGGTGGTGTTGCCGTCTCTGTATAGTCTTACGTACATTCCGTCCAAATCTTTGGCTCCTTCTGGTTCAACAATTTGTTCCTCAAATGGACAACAGTCCAGAGGTTCATTAGATTCACGCAAATCCCTTTGCATCTCTCGCAAAGTCTCTTGGCGTCTTTGCGGATAACTAAAAAGTTAATAAAAGCATTTAGTAATGAAGAAAGTAGTGCAATAATATAGTGTAATAATAATAATAGTGTAAGCTCCGAATTTTTTCACTGTGCTCCAATTTGCATGAAATTTTAGTAATAGGTTACTCTTACCCAGATAATTCCACCGATACCCGCCAAAGTCTATTTATGTATAAATTGACATTGAGCCATTTTATAGCTAGAAAGCGTGTTTAATAATAAAGGGTAAAATTGTAAAGTATTTTCTAATACTTTTACCTTACAATAGTAAGATTTTCAATCCCTTGAAAGCCCTACAACACTTGCGAACAACCTCTAAGTTGAAAAAACACCTAAAACTATTTTTTGGTTTGACAAGATTTAAGTTGTATATAGTAATTCATAATTTTTATCTTAATTATCGAACTTTCAACCCATTTTTGACCCTTAAAAATACAACCCCTTAATGAACAATTGTTACAAAAAATTATTCTAAAATTGAAAAAATAATTACTTGAATGTTATTTCAAATTTTTACAAAATAATTACCATATCTATAATTTTTTCAACCCTTAAAACTACCCTTGAAGATAAACAGTTAATATTATGTTTACATATTTAAAAACAGTAAATATAATATATGATTACATATTTAAATTAATTACAGAATTAAATTATCATACACACACACACACCACACATATATATATATATATATATAGTATATATATATATATGTATATATATATATATATATATATATACAGTGGCGTCGGAAGCAAATTTTTGACGGGTGGGCTCGTTTTTTTTGATAGGCAGGCAGTGGGTTCGTTTTTTAGACATATTAGGTCATATCATATTATGAGAAAAATATTTTCATAAAATAGTGAGTTTTCTGAAAATTGTTTGTACAAAAGTATCTTGAATAGTGTTTGCTTTTTTGAAAAACATTATAATTTTTTTTTTCTTCTATCGATATCCGACGTTATTTTGAAAAAAATTAAATTACACTACTGAGACGAAGGGGTGTAATAAATTATTTTCACTTTTGAACTTGAGAGTAAAATGAACTTAATTTCAAAATTTCATGCAAATTGGAGCACAGTAAAAAAATGCAGATCCAAAACGGAGCAAAAGTAATATTTGAAAGTTTATATGGAAGGTTGGTACCTGTTAGGGTTTATACAAAAACCGACATTTCAGAAAACTGGTTTTCGATTTTAAATTTTACTAAAAAACCGGTTTTAGCCGGTTTTTGAATTTTATATAGGAAGCAAAATTTTGTATATTCTGTAATTTATCCGCAAATTTAGTGTGATTCAGAGCAGTATTTGACTGAATTTATTCACTGTTCAATTTTATGGATAGTAAACAAAATTATTTTAATTTTAACTAAAGATTAATAGTTCATCTTAATTGGATAACTTTGAAAATAAGTATTCGTTATTCATGCATGATTTTCACTTATAAGAATGAAAATATTTTTATGATAGTGAAAGGAAAGTTTTCGAATAGATAAAAATAATACAATTTTAAATAAAAAGCATTCATTAAATTTAAAAAAAAATAAAAAAATATTAGATACATGTTGGATTCATACTCGTTAATATCAATTTTAGTTTTAAAAACTAAACTCGGGTATTGTCTGTTCCAAGCAATTTTAATTAATTAATTTTAAACATTCTAATTGTTTTTTTGTTTCATAAAATGTTATTTCAAAAAACTGAGAAGGTCTATCGAATTGCTACTTAGATGTGTCTTTTGTATACTAACAAATTTTCCTGAAATAGAAAATACTATCATACTTGCGACTGAATTAGGCTTAATTGTTTTTAAAACCTGATATAATTTGTTCTATTATTTGTGGCTTCTAGGATTTAAAACTCCTTTTTTTAAGTTTGAGTAGAGGAAGTTACTTTTACAAGAAAAAGTCACACTGATTTAAATTAATATATACACTGGTATAAAAATCTAAATTAATATATACAAAACCTTTCTGGGAACCATTGCAGACTAATAAGATATCAAATGATAATTTAACCGATATGATTTCAAGAATCAAAATGCTTTCATCTATCTTTTATATTTGGCTATATTTGTCATTTTCCATTTATACAGTGAAAACCGACTTTTTTCACTAAAAAACCGGTTTTCAAATTCCTTAATTTTTAAAACCGACAAACCCTAGTACCTGTAATTATGATGAAAACTTCTTTTTTTTCGACTGTGTCCTCGATCAAAATTGTGGTCTTCACCTAAATTTTGCGTAGCATCATCCACTACATAGTTCTCGTTCTCTTTGCGTGTATAATCTGCAATAATTTATGTATTGAAATTTTAAATAATATACCTCAATAATGTATGTTTTTTGTATTGATATTATTGTTTCTATTACCTAAATCTTGTGTACCATCATCTTTTCGTCTAAAATCTGCAACCTGGTGCAACCTCTCCAGTTCCTCCTCCAACTCGACTTCCTCGATCAAGGGATCATCCTCCCTCAGAAAGGGCTGTGCCGAAAAGGGCAACCCCAACCTGTGATCCATTACAAACCTTACACTTTCCCCAAATTCTTGTTCTTCTTCCCTAAAACTAATACCCCTTTCATCCAACTCTCGGATCATCTTCTCATGACGTTGACCAGCCTTTTTGATAGGGTGCTTGTAATATTCGCTCTGGAATTGATTTTGGAAGTCCTGATGATTATTGTGGTCGTCGTTGTTATTCTCGTTATTTTTTGGTATTGAGGTGGTGACTGTTGGCGAGTTGCACTAGGCCGTTGGTAGTTGCCAAAGCCGACGCCACTGACAATGTCACGATGACTGTGCAACAGATCAAGGCGGCGGCTAGCGTCAGCACCTGGGGAAAAAGAAAATCAAAATTATAAACTAGTTGGTATTGGTATTTTGCCTTGAGGCAAGTTACATGAACTTCCCGATATGTGTAAATAATCTATTTAATCAATAAAAAATAAATTAATTTATGAGTGATTAAAAGTATTCCGAGTGGATTTATTACATATGATTAAAAACAAACGAACACTTTGACCCGGAATATTTTATAATAGCAAATTTTCAAAAACCACCAGTTTTTAAAGGACTTTAATGGTTTACTATGTTCATTAAAACCAAGTACTCTATCGTTATACCAAGAAAATCGTCTAATTTTAATTTTAACAAACGTCAAAAAAAACTACTCATTTTCTTAATCTTTGATTATTGTTAAAATTAAACTACTTGTCGTAAGGCCGTGATATTTCAGTAAGTTCTATACGAACATGATTATATCGCCAAAAAAAGTTCCATGAAAATCGGCTTAATTTTTTTTTCAACAGTTAATTACAAGCAAACGGCTCGGTAGATTTTCACCTAAAACTAATCAGTATCATTCCTAACTAATATCTTTCGAACAGTTTTTGACTTTTTAAAATCAGTTCGGTAGTATGAGGTTAAATGTGGACGAAAAGTTTAACACTTTTTTTCAAATTACAAAGGAACGGCTCGGCCTCACAAAATTGACAAACGATAGTCCTCATTGAGATACATCAAATGGCTTTTAAATTTCTGAAATCGGTTCAGGCGTTTTTGAGAAAACGTCGATCAAAGGTCTAATTTTGACAAATGTCAAGAAAACGATACCAATTTTTGCAAACTTTGCCGAATTTTTAAAGTTAAACGAGTTTTCGTAGGGCCGCAATATTTTAGTATCTAGAAGACTATGGTATCGTTCGTCAAAAAAATAATAATAATAATCATAGAAATTTTTTTTTAACACTTTAGTACAAGAAAACGGCCCGGCCGGTTTCTACCAAAAACTCATCAGGTCGATTCTCAACCAATATCTTTCGAACGGTTTTTGAATTTTCAAAATCGATTCAGAAGTGCGGGCTTAAGTGTAGACGAAATTTTTTTCATTTTTCTGCGATTTACAAAGAAACGGCTCAGCCAATCGTAGCGCGAAATTGACAAACGATAGTCCTCATCGAGACACATCGAATGGCTTTTAAATTTTTGAAACCGGTCCAGCCGTTTTTGAGAAAACGTGGATTTACGGCAAAAAATCTGTAAAATTAGCGAGACGGATTTTTTGATGAAAACATAAACTTCTCCTTATATTTTCTTTTTTTTGATACAAAATAATTTGTATCTTCAGTTTTATTTGTAGAGTATTATTATCTTTTGTACTAACATTGTAATATTTTTGGTAAAATTTGCAAATCATTATTTAATCATATTATTTCGCTTGTTAACTTTCCGTAGGGTAAGTTATTGCAATTGTCCAAAAATCGAAATTGAAAATTTTTGCATTTCTCGAGGTTTTGAAGGTTTCTGAACATTTTGGCATACATTAGAAATAAATGGATGTATGTGTGTGTGTGCGTACGTGCGGATGCAAATTTTCTTCGACGATTTTGTGAACACAGATCAACCGATTTGAATAATCCAAATAACATTCGATTTCTATTGATAAGGAGACGTGCTGATTAGTTTTTAGCAAAGGCAGGTATAGCCGTTTCGAAGATACGGTGCAAAAAGTGCCACAAATGGTATTGCAGTTTTTATATATTATGATAACAGAGCGGCCGATCTAAATAGTTCAAAAAACATTTTGCTTGTATTGACTAAAGGAAAAACTGTCTAAATTTTTGGAAAGGCAGGTCCAACGATTGTGGACTCTCAAAAAGTTAAAAAAAGTAATTTGGCGGTCAAAAACGTTCATTAGACATATGCACATCAAATTATCACATATTTTATAGAGATTTTAATAATAAATATGAATTTTGTGTCAATTTTTTGGGTTCCGTACCAAGATTTTTATTTTGAAGTTCATTTATATGATTTAAAAAAAATGTCCTCGACTTTTTCGACAGTATGGAATAACCGATTTGTATGATTGAAAAATCATTCGGTTCGTACTCGATTGCGAGGCGTTTTTGCAAAAGGCAATTTTGCCGTTTCGGAGGTGGAGCGCAAAGGGTGTAAAAATGGTCATGCAGTTTTTGAGAGAACGGATCATCCGATTAGATTAATTGAAAAAACCTTTTGCTTGTATATACGGTGTGCAAGAAATGCTTTTACAAAAATAATTGTAACTTTGAAAATTTTTAAATAGTTCAAAATTTTCAAAAAAAAAATTAAAATTTCAAAAAATTTAAATTTTCGAAGTTTTTCATCTAAAATATCTAAATTATGAAAAATTTCAAAAAATATCAATATTAAAGAAATCGATTTGTTACAAAAATTTAAGAATATTTCGAAATTTAAATAAAAATCGAATATTTTCAAAGATTTCAAAATTCTCAAACAATTTAAAAAAAAATCAATTGTTTTCAAAAATTACAAAAAAATTCGAACTACTAAAAAATTTTCAAAATTTTGATAAAAATTCAAAATTATCAAAAAAAATCAATCTTTCTTCTTTGGCAAAAAAATCGCAAATAATTTTTTTTTTGCATATTTTTACATTTCAAAGGTTTCTGAACATTTTGGAAAACCTTAGAAAAAATGGAACTGTGTATGTATGTGCGGATACAATCGTCGACAATTTTGGGAGAACGGATCAACCGATTTGAATGATTCAAAGTGCATTCGATTCCTATTGATGTGTAGACGTGCTGATTGCTTTTGTGAAAGGCAGGTCCAGCGGTTTTGGAAGTACGGACCAAAGAATGCAGTAAATAGAAATCAAGTTTTTGAGAGAACGGAGCATCAGATTTGAATAATTCAAAAAACATTTTGCTTGTATCAAATATTTTCGAGGACATTAAAAGAAATCAAAATATTGTAATAAATTCAAAGTTCGAAATTTTTTTTTTTCAAAATTTTGAAAAAACTTGAAAACTTTAAAAAAAAATTATGTATTACGGTATAGGGAGTTTCAGCAATTTGCCATAAGGGACGATGCCATGCACCAAAGCTTGTATTAGTCCAATTATATTTCCATTACCAAAACAATTATTTTTGGGCGCGGTCACCGCCACAAAGATTCTTCTTACTTATTGTTATGTCGAAGTCGTCCTCTTGTTGTTATTTCTCACGTGAGTAAAAAATCATAAATAGTCACATCTTCATTTCGTTCCCTCGTTTGTTTGCATAGCGGAGACTCGGGTAATTGGTAATAGAAATTTATTTGTTGACGACAGGTCAAAATTCGGCTCAAAAACGGTAAATAAAATTAGCAATTCGGATTTCCTGGCGAAAACTTAAGTTGAAAATTTATATTTTAATTTTTACACGACGACCTCGACCTTTAACATAAATCACGTAAAGACCTCCAACATTCAGCACTTAACTGTACTTTACTACCGTTACATAAATTTAACGACCTTTCTCTCATTATTATTATTATTATTAATATTTATTTACATTATAAAATGATTTATTATCATAAGGGAAGAAGTCAAATGAAGTTGCGAATAACTAAACTGAAAAACGATTACTTTGTAGGAGAAAAGGCAGAGCCGAACTAAAATTCAGAATTGAACTTAGTTTAGATGGTTTACATTGTTAACTTCCCGTAGGGTAAGTTATTGTAATGGGCCGAAAATCGGAATTGAAAATTTTTACATTTCTCGACGTTTTGAAGGTTTCTGAACATTTTGGCATACTTCACAAAAAATGGATGTGTGTGTGTGTGTGTATGTATGTATGGATACAAATTTTCGCCCACGTTTTCGGGCGTACGGATCAACCGATTTGAATGGTTTATAAAACATTCGATTCCTATTGATAAGGAGAAGAGCTGATTAGTTTTTGGCAAAGGCAGGTCCAGCAGTTACGGAGATAAGGAGCAAAGAGTGCAGAAAATAGAAATCGAGTTTTTGAGAGAACGGAGCATCCGATTTGAATGATCTAAAAAACATTCAATTAGTAATGATTGGGAGAAGGGGTTATTAGTTTTTCGCAAAGGCAGGCCCAGCCATTTCGGAGATACAGAGCTAAATATACAAAAAATAGCAGTTTTTGAGAGAACTAAGCGTTCGATTCAATTGATTCAAAGAACTTTCTGCTTGTCTTAACAAAGTAATTGATTTTGGAAAAAAAAATTTTGTTTAATTTTTTTTTTTTTTTTAATTTTTTGTATATCGAAAATAATTCAGATTTTATTTTTAATTCTGACTATAGTTCCAATATACTTTAAACAAATAATTTCAACTCTGCAATTCAGTTTATATAATTCTTATAAATATTAGACAAATAATCTATTTGAAAACATTCAATATTCCTCGAACATTTCGTTACGGTACGGGAAGTTCCAGCAATTTGCCTTAAGGCACGATGCCACCCACCCCACTAGTTTTATATTATATAATATATATATATATATATATATATATATATATATATATAATTATATACATGTGTAGTCATAAGTATATATTTAACTAATTCTATTTCAACAGCCGCCCTAAAATTAGTCCTTTTGTCCTTAAGTGGCCTAAAGGAGGCCGACGCATTAAGGACGAAAATAACAATGACCATTTTAAAAGATTACCATCTCGTCCTGTCCTTTTATCCTTTCAAAGGATGCCCCCATTATTATTACAAACTATATCATCTTTAATAATCTCACGAAATTCAATTCACGGAATAATATCAATTTTTTCGTTGGAAGAAAAACTTTGTTTCGGACAGTCTTTTATGGTTATATAGCAGAAACTAGATAAAATTTACTAAAATTATATACGATCTGTCTTATATACTCCAAAAAATTCTGAAAATGGTTTTACAAATTGTGTCTATTTGATATAAAATAATTATTCGAAACTTTTTGATACATTTCTTGAAATAACTCGAAATCTTTTTCCGGGACACTCATTTTTAGTCAACTTGGCAGAAACTAGATGAAATTTACTAAAATTTGTTATAAATTGTTTTATACAAGCCAAAACATTTTTTTTAAATAAAGCTAGTTCGAAATTGATTTCTACGATTTTTCTAGGTTTCTTTAAATAATTAAAAAATTTTGTTCAGGATATTATTTTTTAATTAGCTTAGCAGAAACTAGATCAAATAAACTAAAATTTCATGTGAACTGTTTTATGCCCTAATGTATTTTGAATATTTACAATATATGGATTCCGGACACTTTCTTGATTTTTTATAAATAACTCTAGAATTTTGTTCAGGACACTCTTCTTTAGTTAGCTTAGTAGAAATTAGATAAAATTTACTAAATTTTGTTATACACAGTGTAATTTCGTATTATATAAAATTTTTGAATAAATCCATTGTAAACTCGTTCTTATTTATTGCTTCTAGATTGCCATACAAGGATTCGGAACATTTTTTTACAATTTACTGAATTACTGGAAAACTTCATCCTGGACATTTTTTTGTACTTGGTTTAGAAAAAACTAGATAAAATTTATTACATTTCCCTTTAAACAGTTTAATATAGTTTTATATGAAAATTTTGCATAAGTTCAATGTAAACTCGCTCTTATATATTTTCCTTAGCTCGCCATAAACGAATTCGGGATATTTTTTTACATTTTTCTGAATAACTCAAAAACTTTATGATTAGTTTAATATAGCTTTATATAATTTTTTTGAATAAATTCTTTGTAAATTCGCTCTTGATTATTGTTCTAAGTTTGCCATACAAGGATTCAGGACATTTTTTTACATTTTTTTGAAAAACTCAAAACTTTGTTCACGGCATTCTTTTCTAGTCAGCTTAGCAGAAACTAGATAAAATTTACTAAAATTTCTTGTGAACTATCTTAAACACTTTGATACAGAAAGCTCCAAAATTTTGTTTAGGACACTTTTTTGTAGTTAGCTTAGAAGAAACTAGATAAAATTTACTAGAAATTCCTATGAACTCTCTTATACACTTTAATATAATTTTTTTGAATACTTTAAATTCTCCCTAAAGCATTTTTTACGTGTACAATATATGGATTCGACGCACTTTTTTACATTTCGGAAAATAATTTACAAACTTTGTTCAGGACACTCTATTTTAGTTAACTTAGCAGAAACTAGGTAAAATTTACTAAAAAGCTATATAAACTGTCTTATACACTTTAATACAAAATTTTTGAGTAATTTGAACACGCCCTTATGCATTTTGCATATCTACAATGAATGACTCAAGTACATTTTTCTACAATTCTTTAAATAACTCAAAAACTTCACTCCGGGCACTTTATTTTAATTACCTTAGCAAAAACTAGCAAAAAACAATTTCTATCTTATATAAGGTTGTCAAATATCTCCCTTCCGCTTTTTTGCTCTTGGTTTATAATACAAAAAAGCGGAAGGGAGATATTTGACAACCTTATATATAAAAATGAATCGCAAAATGTGTTGGTAAGCGCATAACTCAACAACGCCTGGACCAATTTGGCCAATTCTTTTTCTAAAATATTCATTGAAGTCCAAGGATGGTTCTTACGGAAAGAAAAAATCGAATAATTGCCGGGAAACACCTAAAAACGGCCCTTTTCTTTTTCACATACAAACGTTAGCATTTTCATATTTTTGCCATCGGATACGGAATATTTACTCAAGTCAATGCAGCGTTTTGTGTAAGAATTTTTTTTACTGTGCTTCAATTTTGTATGAAATTTTGAAATTAGGTTTATCTTTCTCTCAAGTTCAAAAGTGAAAATAATTTAGACTCCTTTGCTATTTCCCGGGGGGATGACATCCCTCTCAGTGGTGTAACTTCATTTTTTCAAAATAACGTCGGATGTCACAGTTGTGCATTTAAGATGCATATGGGTGGATGTATATACATTTCGGTGTAGACTGTAGTGTAAAAAACATGATAATTTTTAACTAATTGGTAAATATCAGTATAGGTTATTAAAAAAATGGAACTTTCAAATTGTAAACATAAGTACAGGACAACGTCTTCGGGTTATCTACTTTTTATATAAAAATTAATCTTCTACTTACCGCAATAATTACTGTAGGAGTAATTACAATTCGCATAGTAGGCCGCTTCTTTAGCAGCTGCCCGAAGTACCCCTTTCAAAAGAACCCTTTTCCAATTTCCGGTATTGTTTAGACCCCAAATTGGAAAAACTGCCTTTTTTGCCGAGGATTGTCGTCCTACGTGACCTCCGCCTCGCCAAGTTCAGGGTCGGCAAAGGGCCGGGTCAGGGGCGCACATCGCCACGTTGGCATCACGAGGAATCTAGTCCGACCCTGGTGAAGGACCGTCGGTTAAGGGTTAATGATGGAGGGTTGTTGGTGTGGTGCCGGTGGTCGTCATCAGGTTTCTGGAAGAGAAGAAATAAATTATTAAATAGTTATACATGTACATTAGGGTGGTACTTAATATGGATTTTTTAAATTTTTTTTGCTCCCAGGGGCTCAAATGCTTTCAAAATGATAAAAAACTAGTTGTGTACGGCATCGTGCCTTGAGGCAAATTTCTGGAACTTCCCGTACCGTAACAAAATATTCGAGAAATATTAAATGTTTTCATATAGATTATTATTAATACTGTAACATTGTCTAATATTTATAAGAGTTATATAAACTGAATTACAAAGTTAAAATTATTTTTTTATATGAGTCAACCGATTTGAATGATTCAAAAAACTAGTTGGTTTGGTATTTAGCCTTGAGGCAAGTTACATGAACTTCCCGATATGTGTAAATAATCGATTAATCAATAAAATATAAATTAATTTATGAGTGATTAAAAGTATTCCGAGTGGATTTATTACACAAATTGAAAACGAACAAACACGTTAACTCGGAGTATTTTCTAAAAGCAAATTTTCAAAAATCAATAATTTTTATAATTGAACCAGTTTTCGTAGGACTTTAATGGTTTAGTATGTTCATTAAGACCAAGTACTCTATCGTTATACCAAGTAAATCGTCTAATTTTAATTCAAAAACTACTCAACTTCACTCACTTTGAAATTTTGAATTTTTAAACTAAACTTGTCGTAAGGTCGTAATATAACAGTGAGTTCTATAAGACCAGGAGATATATCGCAAAAAAAAGTTCCATAAAAATCGGCTTAATTTTTTTTTTCAACAGTTAATTACAAGAAAACGGCTCTGGTAGATTTTCACCTAAAACTATCGGTACCATTCCCAACTAATATCTTTCGAACAGTTTTTCATTTTTGAAAATTGATTCGGTAGTATGAGCTTAAATATGAACGAAAAGTTTAACACTTTTTTCCAAATTACAAAGAAATGGCTCAGCTGATCGCTCCACAAAACTAAGAAAAAATAATCCACATCAAAATACATCGATTGGGTTTTAAATTTCTGAAATCGGTTCAGGCGTTTTTGAGAAAACGTCGATCAAAGGTCTAATTTTGACAAATGCCAAAACTTTGCAAACTTTGATGAATTTTTAAAGCTAAACCGGTTGTCGTAGGGCCGTAATATTTTAGTATGATCTAGAAGACTATGGTATCTACCGTCAAAAAAATAATAATAAAAATCGTCGAATTTTTTTTTTTTAACTTTATTACAAGAAAACGGCCCGGCCGATCTTTACCAAAAACTAATCAGCACGATTCCCAACCAATATCTTTCAAACGGGTTTTGAATTTTCAAAATCGATTAAGAATTGCGGGCTAAAACGTGGACGAAATTTTTTTTCACTTTTCTGCGATTTACAAAGAAACGGCTCGACCGATCGTCACTCAAAACAAAGAAACGCTAGTCCTCATTAAAATACATCGAAAGGTTTTTAAATTATTAAAATCGGTCCAACCGTTTTTGAGAAAACGTCGATTTACGGCAAAGAATCAGTTCACACACACACACACAAATTTTGTCTCATTCGATTCAGAATGGCTTGAAACGTCGAGAAAACATAAAATTAGCGAATAGGATTTTTTGATGCAAACATAAACTTCTCCTTCGGGAAGTTAAAAAAAATATATATTTTTTGAAATAAAAAAAATTAAATTTTGAAATAAAAATAAATAATTTTAAAATCGAAAAAAAATGTCTTTTCCACACTGTCAACATAAGCAAAATATTTTTTGAATAATTCTAATCAGATGATCCGTTCTCTCAATAACTGCTATTTTAGTAATAACAGTCTGGACATGCCTTTGCAAAAATCCAATCAGTACGTATCCCCATCAATACGTAACGAATGTTTATTGAATCATTTAAATCGGATTCTCTGTTTTCTCAAAAACCTAATTGCTATTTTCTACACTCTTTTCTCAGTAACTCCGAAACGGCTGCACCTGCCTTTGTCAAAACTAATCGAATGCTTTTTGAATAATTCAAATCGATGGAACATTTACATCTTATTCGATTCTACTCACTTTTTCCCAAATAAATCTTTTACCACAACCTCACAGACCACTGAACTACAACAGAATATCCGTCCTGCAACCTGTTGCATCGTATTTATAACTACCCTACCACCTACGACCCAAAAACCCTAAAGAAATTCAACCCACGTTAAAATAATCCTTGAACGAGTGGGCCTATTTGCGCAGGCCCGGGTCGGCGCGTCGATTGCGCATGACGAGAGGGCGGAGTCAGTTGGGGATGATTTTTTGGCGAAAATGTTGTGGGCGTGGTCGGAGGCGGGATAATGGATCGGCGTGGGTTTATTTGCCTAGTGGCAAGTTATTATATATACATGCATTTTTTTTCTAATATTTACAAAGAAACGGCTCGGCTGATCGTCACGCTGAGAAACGCTAGTCCAGCCGTTTTTGAGAAAAAGTCTATTTAAGGTCAAAAATCGACTCACATACACACTTTATCCAATTGTCGGATAATCGTATTTTTGGTCGAAAACACTTCAACTTCTCTTTCGGGAACTTGAAAAAAGCCTTCACTTAATCACTTAACAAAAGAACATTTAACTAGTTGGTTTAGTATTTAGCCTTGAGGCAAGTTACATGAACTTCCCGATATGTGTAAATAATCGACTTAATCAAAAAAAAGTGTAAATAATATACTTCATCAATCCTACTTTAAAAAAAACGATAATGATTTTAGCAAAGTTTGACGAATTTTTGAAATTAAACTACTTGTCGTAAAGCCGTAATATTACAGTAAGTTCTATAAGACCATGATGTATATCGCCAAAAAAAGTTCCATGAAAATCGGCTTAAATTTTTTTTCAACAGTTAATTACAAGAAAACGGCTCGGTAGATTTTTTCTTAAAATTAATCAGTACCATTCCCAACTAATATCTTTCGAACAGTTTTTGATTTTTTAAAATCGGTTCGGTAGGATGAGCTTAAATGTGGACGAAAAGTTTAACACTTTTTTTCAAATTCAAAGAAACGGCTTGGCAGATCGTCGTACAAAACTGACAAACGATAATCCTCATTAAAATACAAATGGCTTTTAAATTTCTGAAATTGGTTCAGGCATTTTTGAGAAAATGTCGATGAAAGGTCTAATTTTGACAAATGCCAAAAAAACGATACCAATTTTTGAAAACTTTGACGAATTTTCAAAGTTAAATCAATTGTCGTAGGGCCGTAATATTTTAGTATGATCTAGAAGACAAAGTCAAAAAAATAATCATAAAAATCGTCGATTTTTTTTTTTTAAACTTTATTACAAGAAAACGGCCCGGCCGATCTTTACCAAAAACTAATCAGCACGATTCCCAATCAATACCTTTCGAACGGTTTTTGAATTTTCATAATCGGTTCAGAATTGCGGGCTAAAACGTGCACGAAAAATTTTTCACTTTTCTGCTATTTATAAAGAAACGTCTCGGCCGATCGTCCCACAAAACTGACAAATGCTAGTCCTCGTCGAAATACATCGAATGGCTTTTAAATTTTTGAAATCGGCCCAGCCGTTTTCGAGAAAACGTCGATTTACGGCAAAAAATCTGTTCACATACACACACACACGCACACATACTTTTTCCAAATTTGGTCTCATTCGATTCAGAATGGCTTGAAACGTCCAGAAAACATAAAATTAGCGAATCGGATTTTTTGATGAAAACATAAACTTCTTCGGGAAGTTAAAAAATACTAAATAGTTTGAAATCATTTATTTATGTATCGATACAAATAACATTTTTTTTACTTGAAAGCCGCTCTGTTCACGTTTTAATCGTACATTTATATAACATGTTGTAATATAACATTGTTTTACAATTTTAGTAAAATTATCATTATCACAAAGAAAGTATGCAATACATATATGTGTGATATGTGAACTTAGATGAAGACAATGAGAAAAGGATTTTCTAAAAAAATATTTTTTACCGAGATTTCTAATATGTGTGTAACTAATTGCGAATTTTTGCGCATTTTATTGTTTCGTAAGAAATTTAAAACTAGTGGGGTGGGTGGCATCGTGCCTTAAGGCAAATTGCTGGAACTTCCCGTACCGTAACGAAATGTTCGAGGGATGCTGAATGTTTTCAAATAGATTATTATAAATATTGTAACATTGTCTAATATTTATAAGAATGATATAAACTGAATTACATAGTTGAAATTATTTGTTTAAAGTATATTAGAACTATAGTCAGAATTAAAAATAAAATCTGAATTATTTTCGATATACAAAAAATTAGAAAAAAAAAAGTTCAAACTTTTGTTAAGACAAGCAGAAAGTTCTTTGAATCAATTGAATCGGACGCTTAGTTCTCTCAAAAACTGCCATTTTTTTGTACATTTAGCTCTGTATCTCCGAAATGGCTGGGCCTGCCTTTGCGAAAAACTAATAACCTTTTCTCGCAATCATTACTAATTGAATGTTTTTTAGATCATTCAAATCGGATGCTCCGTTCTCTCAAAAACTCGATTTCTATTTTCTGCACTCTTTGCTCCTTATCTCCGTAACTGATGGACATGGCTTTGCCAAAAACTAATCAGCACATCTCCTTATCAATAGGAATCGAATGTTTTTTAAACCATTCAAATCGGTTGATCCGCACGCCCGAAAACGTAGACGAAAAATTGTATCCATACATACACACACACACACACACACAGACACACACACACATACACACACACATCCATTTTTTCTGAAGTATGCCAAAATGTTCAGAAACCTTCAAAACGTCGATTTGCG